AGATCTGCAACTCACCATATACTTAGAAATGTCATCAGAGTATCTTTATATGCATATGATTCGTCTACACGGGTTTTCTAGCCTCTATAATGAGTGGATAAGTGACTCAGTTACCCGGACTTACTACCACCAAACAAGCAAAAATAAATATTGTAATTAGAATGCGGCCAGTGAAATCAGCTATCATGTGCAATTTATGGCAGTGAAAACCACTCAAGTTCCCTAAAATCTGTTTCGATGTTAATACGCCTCTGTCTACACCGCATGGCCTATTGTAATCTCAGTGAAAATACCATGAGACATCTGCAAACCCTCAGTGGTAAACAAATATAATAACAGAAGACAAGTAACTTTCTATATTGTCTGCCTTTGCATTTTGAAAAATGCTGGCTCTCATATTTTATATATGGAATAGAAAAAAAAAGAAATCACATGGTGGTGTGATGTCCAAAGTTGATTATTTTCCTATAACAGCATGTCATGAAGTGTTTTAATCATCTTGTACCACAATTACAAACTTTTCTTTACTAATGAACAAAATGTCATACTTTGAACAGTTTATAGTTATGTTTAATGTTGTGAAACATCCATGAGTCAAGTCAGTTGACACTTATGTTATAACTTCAAGAGAGTGGAAAAAACCTTCCCTGTTTTCCATTCTCTTGAAGTTAATCAGCCCAAAAAAACCCTAAACACACTTTTTCCTTTTTCATTTTACAGAGAAACTGTGAAGTTCAAAGTGATCTGTGCTGTTATGGAAAATTCTATAACAGCACAGAGAACTTTATATTCTATAACTATATAACCATAAACCCAGTCATATTTTCAGTTTTTTTAGCTTAGGTGTGTCTTAATAGATTTTGACAAAACTGATTTGTGTACTTCAACTGGTCTCTTCACTGAAAGGATTTAATCATATATAGAGCACAACCAGATGTGGTCATGCTTGTCTGTGGATGTGCACAAACATCTGTCAGAATGTATAAACCTATTATTTCCCTTATTGCTCTGTTTGTGAAACAACTGCTATAATATCACACCACACCAAAGCAGGCTTAATAAAATAACTCTGTATGACGTTGTTAGTAAATGAGTTTAGTATGTGTGCAAAACTCTACAGAAAGGATGAATGTGCATGGAAGACTCACTGAGAGTGTGTTGGTCAGGCCCATTAACCGCGAGATTGCCGCATTCAACAGGAAGTCTTCTGTCAAGTGAGTGGTGACCTGACAACCAAACACATAAGTATACAAAAAAATCTATTTTAGTTTCACTTCAACCCCATATCTTTTGTTCTCTTATTCTTTTGTCTCGTTTTATACGAGTTATGACTTATGAGACAGATAATTTCTACCTTCTTCAGCACATTTGTTAAAGTGTGGATTTAAGCCAACAAAGCTCAGCAGGTTTAAACATAAAAATGACTTTCGCTTAAAAATTAATGCAAATTTGAATGTACCGAGAGTGAAAGGAAGACTAGAAGAATAACATAATTCCTGTGTCCTAGTGATGTTCTTCTGCTAGAGATATTTCAGCTAATGAAAGGGCGCAGAGAATGTGAACATTATTCCTCTAATCCAGCTGGAAAGAATGGGGCCCTGAGGGTGAATGTTTTTTCCACCAGAAGTTAGGAATCTTATGATGATCTGAGAGCAGTGTGGTGTCTTCTCTTATGCTGATTAAGGTTAAGGTTTGGGTTAGGGGAATTGATTCTACATCAGCTGTAGAGAGCTGCAGGTGCTTACAGATGTCCTTCATGCTAGAAAGCACATGATTGATGGCAGAGGATTTTCAACAAGAAGAATCAAAGGGAGACAGTGTGGTTTAGAGGCTCTGGTTGGTTCGAGCACAGGCCAGGCCTCTTAACCAACCTGGGCCTCTGGAGGAATCAATCCCAGCCTGGGCTATCAGAAGCTATTTATACTGCACTAAAGTATCATCTGCTCAATTTAACATCCTTTCCCTACACCTTTTCTGTTAATTTCTAAGGAATTAAGATGGATCAGGTTGCTTTTCATAGATGAACAAAAAAAAGGGTGGTAATGGTGACAGTCTGTGTCTTCTGCTAAATTATTCTGTTGTCCCTTCTTAATCATTGAACGCACATAGACCCACATCTACCCTCACACTGGTGACACCAAGTGGTCAAAGTGTGCAAGCAAAAGAAGAATTGTATCAGTGCTATATTATGATGTAGTAGAATGTACTATATTAATTATCATTATAATCATATAATCATAATCAGTATAAGTACTTCCTCTGACCTGAGCAATGGATTGATTTTTGTTTTCCCAGATCTTCCGGGCCTCTAAGCGCTCTTTCTTGTTGAGGATAGAGGGGTTGGGGGTGTCGCTGCCCTCACGAGCCTCTCTCAGCTTAGTGACGAGCCCCCAGAGACGAGCCTGCCAACGCAGCACACCTGGGAGAGCGTCAGCTACACACACACACACACACACACACACACACACACACACACACACACAGTCAGTGCAACATACCTCTCTTTGGATCACAATCACATTACTACACCATGTGTTGTTATGTTTGTACTGTAATTATTTCACAAATGCCATTATATTCCTGTGTTTTGCTACAGTGCTATGAATGTAGGAAATGAAAATCAAAATTTTGGTGTTCGCTCTCCTTCTTCTTCTTGTTCTTCTTCTTCTTAACAAATTATTACAAAGTTACTAACTGACAAAATTAACAAAACACTGAAGATGAATGAATGAATGAATTCGAAACTGAGGCTAAAAAGCAACTTTCAATGTATACACCTGTATGGAGCTTGGAAGCGACGTACAAAGAAAAAAGTATTTGAATAATAAAAAATAAATTAAATAAAATTCATTTTTCTCTGTGGTGCATTTAATTTATTTCATTTTTTTATCTTTGTTTTTTCCTTTGATTTGAAATTGTTAGGGGTAAGATTTCAGATTTTAAAAAAATCAGAACAATAAGATTTTGGAATTTAAATATTCAGAACCCTAAATACAAAATATTAGTCAATTCAGGTGTATTTTGTTACCATTTAAACAAACATTTATTAATATGCTAATATATTGTTAACATAACTTATGGTTTATTCATGCTGAAGTTATTATTTGTTATTATATGTTATGAATTTTCAAAAATATACAGTATGCAATATCTGAATATCTGTAAAAGTGTTTCTATAATCATCAAACAATTTCAAAGCTGTTTTAAAAAACTGATACCCAATATAGTCATAGATCTGGCTAATTTCTTTATTAAATGTTTCTGTAAACAAAAGCCAACCAACAGGTAGGCATACATTGTCTCAATAAATGGGACTGCTTTGGGGGAGGGCGAAAGCTTTGTAAACATTTTGATTGCAAATGCAATTCACCTGGCAGCCAGCAGACGACTCTAAAAAATAGAAACTGCCCCTTTAAAGCATGAAACCTAATCTAGATTTAAGGAAGCTTTCACACATGGATAACACAAGAGCGTGGACCTGCCTCTATTTCAGCTGAAAATTCAGGACTGGCTGCTTCTATCCATCTCATTTTCACCCTCTAATAAATAAAACAACTAAACTGATCTGGGAGAAGCTAGGTCTACCCGTATCAAAACAGAGCATTAGAACTTAGAGACAGCTCACTCTTCACGTCCCACAGGATGTCCTGCTCGGGTGGAGCAGCGTAGAGGATGTAGAGGCGCACGGTGTCGATGCCATACTGCTGCACCACTTCCTCAGGGTCTATACCGTTATGTTTGGACTTACTCATCTTCTCCCAGCTCACCTGCAGCTGCTTCCCGCTTTCTCGCTGGACAGGCTCGGAGGCTAGAAGATGGCAAAAACATATGTAAACCAATAAAAAGAGGCTGAGATGAGGCCAACTCTATTCACTGTAGGATTTTTAATCCCTTCTCTAAAAAACTGGGTGCAACCCAAAGGGCCAAACATGTGTAAACTATTACCTCTACTAAACAAAAGCATAAACCAGTCATCATCTCTGTCCTTACTGACACAGAAAGCTATTTAACAAAATCCCTTTGATACCAATAATACACACAGTCCATACAGAAATTCCCTGTTTACTTGGTTGCCTGGCAACAGTTCAGCCATGTATGATCCCATACTCACCAGAGACAGAGAGAGAAGTACAGAGAGATAGACAGGTGGAAAGATGGAGATTTATACAGCATTTGTCTCGAGTGGTTTCCATGACTAAGCTGACTGCTGTTGAGTTGAGTTGCAGTGAGGCATAATCTATTTTTGACTACAGCAACAAGCAAACCATAACTGGCTGAGATAACAGCAGTTTGAGATATAATGATCACTGAGCACCAGAGTAAAAGCTCTAAACACACACAAACACATACCTGTGAAATCAATATCCTCCTTCTTCAGATACTGCCCGCTCTCAGCTACTCGAAAGGTCTGACCCTTAATAAGGCCCTGCACCAGCAGCTTCTTAAATGGCTCCCTTTAGAAGAAACAAATTGATTGGAAGTGGCTCCAGTCCAACTCAGCTTGTATGCTTTATTATTTATTGTATGCCATGCTTTATTGAGATATTGAGACTCTTACTCACTCAACAGTTTGGGCCTCATTTAACAATCCTTTAGTAAAGTTGTGTGTAAATGTTTTCATAATATTTACCAAAACAAAATAAAAATTCCTGTCAGATTTACAAAGTTTCAGTAGGGCTGATTTTCTTTGTACACGCGTGTTGATAAATCCCATTCAGCGCATTTATGGCAGAGCTGATTTGCATTTAGTGACGCCCACAAAAGTCCATATCATACAAAGCTAACAATGTTAACAGTGAGCTAAAAGTTGTTGTTGTTCTTCTTCTTCTTCTTTCGGCTGCTCCTGTTAGGGGTCACCACAGTGGATCTTTGGTTTTTATGCTGGTTACACAGTTTTCATGCCAGACACCCTTCCTGATGCAACCCTCCCCAGTTTTATCCGGGCTTGGGACCAGCACTGGGAGTGCGCTGTCTTGTGCAACCCCAGTGGCTAGGGTTGGTTCCCTGGCCGGGAATCGAACCCGGGCCACGGCGGTGAGAGCACCATGGCCTAACCACTAGCCCTCCACAAGCAAAATGAATTCTTTCTTATCATATGGCAGCATTTCATTCATCCTAATGGCTAGTCATATTTGTCTTAATAAATGGATTTCTTTAGACTGCTTTCTTTCAAGCCAGGGGTGTCTAGTCTTATCCGGAAAGGGCCGGTGTGGGTTTTCATTCCAACTAAGCAGAAGTCACACCTGAGTCTATTGATAGCTGAGATCAACTGATTGAACAGGTGGAATCAGGTGTGGCTTCTGCTTGATTGGAATGAAAACCTGCACCCACACTGGCCCTTTGTGGATAAGACTGGACACTTCTGTTTCAAGCCATTAACATGAAAGAACTAAGTTTCACAAAATTTTAATAAAATTCAAGCTAATTCAATTTGACAGCATAATCCATATATAAAATCGCACAAACCCAAGGCAATTAAATGATTTGAAGCCTATCATTTGAGATTCACATTAGTGAGTCTCATTATATGGAAATTTACATAAACTCAGGAACTTTTGACCACAGTTCTTTTGAACGAACATTTCTTGTGTAAATCCTTCTGCGAATGATTTATAAATAAATCTGTTCCTATCCAGTTTGACAAATGAGGCCCAATACTGTCAATATGTAACATTTAAATCATTATTTTCCACCAATTCTCTGTATGACCTCAGTATTATCATAGTAAAATTCTTCATCAAACTTAATGTCAGAGTCCCACTACTATGCATTAACCAGAGGTCATTTCTGACTCTTCTCTTATGTCATCTTACGTGAGTTTTTCCCTTGCCACTGTCAGATTGTCTTGCTTATTAGATGTCTACATTAAGCTGTTTGTTGTTAAAAGTGCTATACATGAAGATAACTGCTAAAGTGCTATTATTTTGCCATCCCAGTGATGTGAAATCACAAAGTGCTACATACTTGTGTGAGACCAAGCCCTGGTCCTTGCAGAAGTGACTGAGGAAACGGGCGTAGTACAGGTGCATGACTGCATGCTCTTTTCCTCCTATATACACATCCACAGGCATCCACTGGTCAGCCAGAGAGTGATCAAAAGGCCTGAAGCAGTTAAAACAGTTAAATTGTGTGATCAGGATATGAACAAATTGTCTGCAAAGATATTTGCCTGCAATTTTTAGACATTACATTGTAAACTAGTGTGTACGAATGAATGCATATATGGGCCACCACTAGAGGACATCCTTGCATAGCCATCCAGCCACAGAATTCAGAAAGAAGAGAATGTTATACTGGATGAGCAATTGTGTTTTGCATGCGTGTGTGCAGTCTAGGTGTGCATCTAAACACTTGAGAGAGCTCAACTTTAGATGGATGATAATATCACACTGACACTGATTTCCTGTGAATCTGTGTAAAGCAATACTTTTAACATCCATATATTTTGCAATGAGACACTGGAAATCACACAGACCTCGTCGATCTATGCATAATTATACAATATTGATGTTGAAGAATTAGTGTCAGAAAGCTAACAACGCAGGTCAGAGCAGGAAATGATGTTCCACCGCTAGCAAATTCTCCTCTTTTGTGAAGATCTTGATATCACCAATGGTTAATGGCCAACAATTTATGATCACCACAAATATATATGTGCATGTGTGGCAGAGACAGAAAACGCAGAGAAAGTGACAGATTGAAAGATGACTGAGTGTATGAGTGAAGGAAATTATACATATATATAGATCTAGTTTTCAGTCAAGCTGCCATATGGCAATTCCTCAAGTGGGGTGCAGTTTGAGGCCCACTTATATTACTTATATGTAAAGGGAAAAAAAATCTAAAGTTTCTTCACATCCACCTATGTGCATATTAAACACTGAAACAGCATTTTTGCCCACAGAGTTAATGAGAAAATCTATCTATCTATATCTAGAAATAACACCTCATCATCCATTAAAGGTAATTTACATTTTATTTGTACCCTAGAACATTAACTCAGCTGTATTACCTGAACACATTCACCCCATGAAATATTTGGAAGCTAGATTAGCTGAATTTCCTGAAGATCATGGGAATGGGAAAAAGAAAAGTAAATTACTATTATTAAGGACATTATATTGTAATGTCCTTAATGCCCTCACTCCATTAGCACTGAAGTTAGATAACCATATACTGTGTATCTGCAAGTTCGATGCTAAACTCAACCCTGTTACTTAAATGTTATAACAGGTCGAAAGAAAGTTAGAGAAAAATGTGGATGAAAAGAAACCTCATGAACTTTCTCCTTACCTCTCTGAGTTGTGTGGGTCTGTGTATCTGAAATAGTACCAGGCAGAATCCACAAAAGTGTCCATAGTGTCTGTCTCTCTCTGAGCAGGACCTTTACACCTGACATGATAGAGAACTGAGTGTGAAAAGGCAGGGTTGCAATACAGACTAACACTAAGGAATGACTTACAGCCTGAATACAAAACACATCAGTACCCATCAAATATGCCGAATTTTTTTTACATGCAGATATTTTATTCCAAGTTAGAATTACACACCCCAGTAAACAGCCTAGCAACTATAGTTTCCAGCCTGAAATTGTTATTAAAAATTAATAAATAGCAATAAGCCAGACAAAAAAACAAACCACAATGGAAAATGTCATCAGGAACCACGGAAATGAAACAGCATTGATATTAGCGGTCTCTTAGTGTTTCATCCGTCTTTTCTACAGGTTGATGCAGGCATAATAGAGCAGTAAAAAAAATAAATAATAAATCAATGTAAAGTGGATATAAAAAGTCTACACACCCCTGTTTTTGTGATGTAAAAAAATGAAACCAAGATAAATCATGTGAGAACTTTTTCCACCCTCAATATGAAATTACAACGTATAAACATTAAGTGGAAAAAACAATCAGAAATATTTTAGGGAAAAATAGGAAAAATAAAAAATTTATAACCTATAATTATGCAATAACCTGGTTGCATAATATCTAATACTTTGTTGAAGCACCTTTTCATTATATTACACCACTCAGTCTTTTTGGGTAAGAATCTATCACATCTTGATTTGGCAATATTTTCCCACACTTTCTTGCAAAAACATTCTTGATCCATCAGACTGTAAGGGCATCTCCTGCACACAGCCTGCTTTCAGGTCACCCCACGGATATTTAATTGGATTCAGGTCTGGGCTCTGGCTCGGTCATTCAAAAACATTGATCTACTTTTGGTTAAGGCATTTCTTTTGTTGATGGATGTATGCTTTGGGTCATTGTCGTGCTAAAAGGTGAAATTCCTTTTCATCTTCAGCTTACAGCAGACACCTGAAGGTTTTGCACTAAAAGCGACTGGAATGTGTAGCTATTCATGATTCTGTTCACTTTGATAAAAGCCCCAGTTCTGGCTGAAGAAAAGCAGCCCTAAAGCATGATGCTGCCACCACCTTGCTGCACTGTGGGTATGGTGTTCTTTTGGTGATGTGCTTTTTTTCGCACCAAACATACCTTTTGGAATTAATTTACCTTTTGGAATTGGTCTCATCAGACCATAACACATTTTGCCACATGGTTTGGGATGATTTAGTCGAGCTTGGATGTTTTTTGTGAGAAAGGCCTTGTGTCTAGCCACTCTAGACATGTGAAGAATATGAGAGATTGTTGTCACATGCAGAGAGTAATCAGTACTTGTCAGATATTCCTGCAGCTCTTTAATGTTGCCGTAGGTGTCTTGGCAGCCTCCCTGGTAAGTTTTTTTCTTGTCCTTTTATAAATTCCATTTTCCATTTTCTCTGTTGATGATGGCAAAAACCTGACATTTTAACAGGGGTGTGTAGACTTTTTATATCCACTGTATGTTCAGAGTATAATACTTGGAAACAAAACAAAACAAAAGGAGCGCATTGCTTTTATTTTCAGTTTTATAAAATGTCTTCCTAATAAAGATACGCTGCTCATTTTAGCCATGCTACATAAATCTAAAATCAGTAACAACATCAAATAAAAAAACTATTTCAAACAATAATTATACATTATACTTAATAATAATGAAACTATTGTAAATGCACTGCACTTCATGGAAACTATACATCACAAAAGGCATCAAATAACATATTTAACCATACTCCACAGTCCCTGAACAACTTCTCCCAGTAGATTAAATTAAATTCGAGGCTTCCTCTAAGCAAGTCTCCCTGTTGGTTTACACTGCCCAGCATGACACTATAACCGAAAACACAGCAATTCCAAAATACCAATAATGTTTAACAATGTTTCTAACGAGCAGCAGTCCATGCATGATCTCTAGATTGGAAATGTCAGCTATGCGGCCACTCCAGCCCTGTCATTCAGCCCTGTGTGTTATTAAGGGACTAGCTGCTACTGGACACAGTTCTGGCAATTTCAAGCCAACCCCAGAGCAGAGCAGTGCATATGTGGCTGTGTGTTTGTGTTGGAGTACAACCTTCCATCTCTTTCCTCCAAAGCAAACAGAATGTCACCCAAAACTCTTTCACCCCAAAAATCAAAAGTACAACTTGTCCACCAGGGGAGACACAAAAAACAAGTGCAAGATAAAAAGTGCCCACATGCACACACACCTCCACTGGTCCTTCAGTACCAATCAGTACCATGCTCGCCTGCTTATCCTTGGACAATAAGTTGATATCCATATTATGATAAATTCCACTAATGTTTGGTGGTGCTCTGTTAGTAAACATAAATGTAGTGACATACACTCACTGGCCACTTTAATAGGAACCCCTGAATGCTCATTCATGCAATGATCCAGTCAGCCAATCATGTGGTAGCAGCGCAGTGCATAAAATCATGCAGATACAGGTCAAGAGCTTCAGTTAATGTTCAGATCAAACATCAGAATGGGAAAAAAAAGTGATCTCGGTGACTATGACAGTGATGGCATGGCTGTTGGTGCCAGATGGGCTGGTTTCCATATTTCATAAGCTTTCATAATTTTCACACACAACAGTCCTTAGAGTTTACCTTGCTCATAAGAGAGGGCAGAGGAGAATGGCCAGAGAATGGCCAGACTAGTTCAATTTGACTGAAAGTTTACAGTAACT